TAGGACAATTCCAGAGCCAAAGAACAGCCATTTCAGCATTACATTAGTTACTGAACAATGTAGAAGTCCTTTGACATCTCTAGAGAATCAGCTCATTGCCTGGGCAGTAAGGAAGTTTGCCTGTGGATTCAGGTAATCTCTCACTGAAGTTCCTCCAGTCTGATCTGTGCAAAAACCAATGTGGAACAGAAAATGAGGGTGGTAGTATTTGAAAAGGTTTGAGAAATTGTGCTGTATTCTACAGCATATACCTCCCATTAGTAATTGTGGTTATTTAAGAATGCAAGAAATTTTTTTCTTTCCATTTATGTGAATGATTTTGTTCAAATAACTTTTAAATTGTTAGGACATAAATATTCGAGTTGTTTGGCTCTAACTAATTAACAAAGTTGTTAGTTTTTTTGTTTATTTATTTTTAAAAGATTTATTTATGCATACAATAACTGGGGTACAGGCCAGAGGTGTGGGGGGGGGTGAAAGTATTTACCAGAGACAGTGGGGAACAGAACAGGCTGAAATACACTGCTGAAGGGAGCAGTGGGCAAGACAGGAGCGGTCTGCCGCGCCATGTGGGTTGCTCTGTGGCTGGCAGGCATCGAACTGGCATTGCAGAGGCTTGCGGACAGCTTCACAGCGCAGCGCTCAAACGCCTGTGCCACCAGGGAGGCCCTGTTGTTTTTTTTTTTACTTATGGATACAATGAACAAAATTAATGAAGGTATGGTGTTACTGTGAACTTAGTTTGAAAACATTAGCCAGAAACATGATCCAAGAACATTCAAGGATCTGGGGCATTCTGGAGAGCTGGGATCTTAGAAGACAACAGGAGCTCTTCCACTATCCTTTGAATTTCAGTGCAAACCCAAAGCTCTGAAACTTTGATGGCTGCACAGGCCTTACATATTGGGGCAACATCAGCCCTGCCTTACGTGTGACAATAGTCTCATAGCTGAGTCCTAGGAATAGTCTCTCCTAGCAACACCAGCCCCTTGAAGACTGGACTCTGAGATGGCTGCTTAATCCTAGACTGTTGCCTAGTAGAGTCAAAACTAATGGAAATCCTGGGAAGGTAAAACCATTGTCTTCAACCTTTGCTTCTGTGAATGTCTGAAAATTCTGTCAATTAGTTTAATCAGTTCAAAAGGAAAAGATTGTCTCTAAGTAAATCAAATGTTCTCAGAATTATTCTATATCACCCTAGCCATTGTTTCAAGATGAATATTTTTTAAAAGATGAAACATCAACAACTCTAAAAGAACACTTAAGAATCAGGAGTTTACTAGTACTTAAGAAAAAAGGGAGGTGGACCTCCCCTGGTGGCGCAGCGGTTGAGCGCTGGGCTGCGAAGCTGCGCGCAGCCTCAGCAGCACCAGTTCGATCCCCGGCCGCTGGGTGAGGGTCCTACATGGCGCGCAGACCTCTCCTGCCGCCCGCTTCTCCCCTCAGCAGTGTACTTAGGTCCTTCTGCCTGTTCTGCCCCCTGCTCTGGGGCTCTGGTGAATTCTCTCACCCTCCCACGCTTCTGACTATACCCAGTGCTTGTATAAATAAATAAATACTTTTTTAAAAAAATATAAATAAATAAATGAATGAATGAATGAATGAATAAATACACCTTTGAGAAAAGACAGGGCACTCTCCCACTTCTACCAGAGGGATTGATTCTTCTCCTTAGTACGCACACATGCCTTTGTCATGGGGCCAGTGCACTGGAGCATTGTACCCTGGAGTATAGGTGGATTTATCCAGACATCTCCTCTACTAGACTGCAAGCTGCTTTTTTCTTTTAATCATTGTTAATTTGGGCATAGTATTGGATTTCTCCCCTCAGGTATAATACCCATCATTCTCCCACCACCATAGCACCTGTAATCCATCATCACAGTCCCTTGTACTCTTCCCTCCCTTTTTTTTTATTATATATTTATTTATGCATACAAGAGCTGGGGTACAGGCCAGAGATGCAGGGGGTGAGAGGATTCACCAGAGACAGAGTGGGGAGCAGAACAGGCAGATTGACTGAAGTACACTGCTGAGGGGAGCAGCAGGCGAGTCAGGAGAGGTCTGCTGCACCATGTGGGTTGCTCCCTGGCCGGCCGGGGATGGAACTCGTGCTGCAGTGGCTGCGGACTGCTTCATAGTGCAGTGCCACCAGGGTGGCCCCCAGTTTTTTTTTTTTTTTTTAATTAATTTTCTTACATCATTGTTCATTTTTGTACAGTAATTGGCTTCTCTCCTCAGGAGCAGTCCCCTTAGTTCTCTCACCACCCTCTCACCCATGAGCCATCACCGTATTCCCTTGTGTTCTTCCCTCCCCTGTTTTGATTCCCCTCCTTCCCATTCCCTTGCTTTATGCCTCAGATCTGTGATCAGCTTGCTTGCCTTTACTTTTTTTTTAAAGATTTATTTATGCATACAAGATGTGGGGTATAGGCCAGGTGCGGGGGGTGGGCAGAGATGAGAGGATTCACCAGAGACAGAGTGGGGACCAGAATACGCGGATCTATTGAAATACACTGCTGAGAAGAGCAGCAGGCAAAACAGGAGAGTTCTTCCTCTCCATGTGGGTAGCTCCCTGGCGGGATCGAACTCATGCTGCAGTGACTGACGATAGCTTGATAGTGCTGAGACTTAACCCCTTGTGCCGCCAGGGAGGCCCAGCTTGCTTGCTTTTAGACTGTAAGCTTCTTTAGGGCACCAACCACGTTTGGGAATTTCTCTCCACAAGTTTAGTACAGGTTTAGTATACAGGATGCTTTCAGTAAATGTCAGAAAGAAAGAAAAGTGTGTGTTTGCTCCATTTTGATAACAGTAGGATAGAATGGACCTCTAGAAGTTCTGCTTTCTGCATATTGCTTTCCATCCCCTACCACCATAAATATTTCATGTTCTTGAAGATTTTCTTGCAAAGAGTTTGCATAACCATCTCAATAACCTTACTATCAGAAGACTCCTTCTGGTGTTGAATTTTTCTGACTCTAACCACTCTTCTACCTTGAGTAGAAGTGGAGAATTAATGCTTACTGAAATAATCCATATCTTTTCAACAGGTGTGTCCTTTCACCCTACTTTTTATTTATTTTTTTAATAGAGGCATGTTTGTTTATTTATTTATTTGTTTGTTTGTTTGTTTTTGTTTATACATGCACTGGGTATAGTCAGAAGCACGGGAGGGTGAGAGAATTCACCAGAGCCAGAGCGGGGAGCAGAGCAGGCAGAAGGACCGAAGTACACTGCTGAGGGGAGCAGCGGGCGGCAGGAGAGGTCTGCGCGCCATGTGGGACCCTCCTCCGGTGGGCGGGGAGCAGCCGGGGATCAAACTGCGGGCAGCTTTGCAACCCAGTGCTCAACCGCTGCGCCACCAGGGAGGCCCTCACCCTACTTTTTAGACTCACTTTAGAGTGAGCCACAGTTGTTAATGGAAATGTGCATGGGTAGAAAGGAGGTAACTGCTATTGTTAGAGTCTTTTACGGTTTGATTGAGGCATAATTCACATACCATCTAAGTCACTTATTTCAAGTGTATAATTTAGTGATTTTTAGTATATTCAGAGTTGTGCAGTAGTCACCACAATCAATTTTAGAACATTTTCATCACCCAAAAGAAAGCCCATATCCATTAGCAGTCAATCCCCATTTCCATCCAACCCAAGGCAACCACTCACCTACTAAGTTGTCTCTATAGGCTTACCTGTACTCAACCTTTCATATGAGTGGACTTATATATGATCCTCTGTAATTAGTTTTTTCTGCTTAGCATCATGTTTTCAGTTTGTCCATGTTGTATCATGTATCAGTACTTCATTTCCTTCTGTTGATGAATAATTTTCCATTATATGGATATACCATGTTTACCCATTTGTCAATTGATATTTGGGTTGTTGTCACAAGAATAATGCTGGTATTAACATTTGTGTACAGGTTTTTGTGGAGGCTTTTATTTCTTTTGGGTATGTAAGTAGTGGAATTGCTGAACCATACTGTACACATATTTTGAAGAACTGCCAGAGTCACTTTATTTTTCCAAAGTCACTATACCATTTCACGTTCCCGCTAACAGTGTATAAGGGTTCCAACTTCTCCATGTCCGTGACAACACCTGTTATTATTTTTCATATTTATATATATGATTTTATATTTTATTAAACAATTGCTGTTTACATAAATATGTGTGTATTGTAACATGTAGATACAGTTTTATAGTTAGATATCGTATAACCTAGTCGGTATGAAGTAGCTTCTTATTATGGTTTTGATTTGCATTTCCCTAATGGCTAATGGTTGTGAGCATCTTTTCATATACTTACTGGCTATTTATTGTCTTTGGAGAGCTGTTTGGATTCTTTGCCAATTTTAAAATTGGATTGTCTTTTTAATTATTGAGTTATGAGAGTAATCTGTTGTGGATACAAGTCTCTTATCAGACATGATTTGCAAATTTTTTCTCGTGTGTTTTTCTTTTCTCAATGGTATTATTTGCAGCAAAAAGAGTTTAAAATTTTCATGATGTCTAATTTATTCACTTGTTACTTTTGGGTTTTGTGTCATATCTAAGAAATCACTGCCTAAATCAAGGTCATATGTATGTTTTCTTCTAAAAGTTTTCTAGTTTTACATTTAGGCTTCTGATCCATTTTAAGTGAAGTTTTTGTGTTGTGGCGATTTGGATGATTTAAAATTTTTTCCTCAGTTTTTCCCTTGAACTCAGTATATTTTACTTTTTCTTACTGAGATAATAATATAGATGCTGCCAGAGAGTGACTTCTAGAGTGGCAGGTGAAGTCTATATGGAAATGAATGCTTAGAGAAGGAGCAATAATGCAAAATTATGGTAAATTTAAGAGTTTAGTGTCAGATCTCAAGTAGCCTATCACCCACTACAAACATTAATATTAGTTTACATCTTTCCTTTTCAAAATGATTCAGGATTGTATTATGTTCTGGGGCTGTCAGAGAACGCTGTTTTATGTTGTGACTGATGTGTAGCTTTTTCTCCTTAGGGGTCTCTCTTTTTGGCTTGTCGGCCCTGTTGGTCCCCGGGAACTTTGAGTCTCATTTGGAATTTGTGAAGTGCCTGTATCTGGGACCAGCATTGATCCACTCAGCCAAGTTTGCACTGGCCTTCCCTCTCATGTATCACACCTGGAATGGGATCCGACACTTGGTAAGTTCAATGTCATTTGCACATTTTCTGGTTGAAGGGAATGGAGATGCTGGGAGGAGTCCCCTTCATTTTCTGGTTTTAGGTGCTTAACATGAGTTGTGCTGGACCTTTGCTCAGGGGCTCCTTGGGGAGCTAGACATTGGGTTCCTTTTGACTGTTTTTGTTTATTTTGAGCTGTTGGAGAAATGGGGCCAACTTTAACAGAAAGTAGGTACCTAGAGTCCCAAATTTTAATACTGAGTTTAGGAATCTTTTGATGGTCTGAAAACTCCATATTGCCTCTTATGTGACCTTGGGGTCAGCTCAAAGTTGGCATCTCCTCTGTGTAAAGGAATTGAAGCTTTTAGTTAAACCTGCCCCAGGTCAGAGTCAGTCCCTCTGGTAGCGTTTTAAGATTTCATAGTTTTGTGGTCTTTCCTACCCCTAGTATTGCTTCCTTTCCCAGAAATACAACCTTTCGGGTTTCTCATTACTTCTAAACCTGAGTCACCTGTGTAAGACTTAGGCTATAGTTTGACCTTTTTTAACTTCGCATCAGAGCCTAGGACAAGCACTTCCTGAATTTCAGTCTGTCTAATAGAATCAGAAAAGTGAGAGACTAAATGACCTATTAAATTAAGTGTATCTATCAACTGTCCCCTGGGGCGGAGTTCAGTTTAATTCAAAATGACTTTTCTTCCCTCGAGGGAGGGGATAGAAAAGGGAGGGCATTTCCATTAAGGACTTACTATTCCACAGCACAAATCTCTCTAATGAAAATCAGCTGATCCACTTCCTCTGCTCACATCCTGGCTCAGGCAGGGACTTGCTGTATATTTGCTTTTGTCTCACTATGGCAGGAAGGAAGGGGGAGAGGTTTTACAAAATTTCAGAACTCATTCAAGATTTTTCTGCTCTGGCTCCTTCCTATAACGGTAATCTCTTTGTCTGAGAGAAGTGAGGAGCCTGAAGGCTTTCTGCAAGCCCTTAAATCTGCTTTCATGTTTTCTTCTAGCAAGTACTGGTTCTGAGTGCTGGACAAGGTTTTATCTATTCTTTGTGATAGTAAATTATTCTTGCCCTCTGAACTTTAGGGTGTCTTTCCTGGAGATGGAAGGGGGAGTGGACAGCGGGATGATGTCGGAGAGGAGAAAGTGATGGGATCCTCTGGCGTTCTTGAGAATATCCCCCAACAACCACTACAAAATTGGACTTTTTTTTTAAACACTGTGCCTATATAAACAAACAGCTTTTTTGTGGAATCTGCTTCACCCCTAATCTGATCTAGGAAGAAGCTATTTGGAGGATATTGTGGGGCATCTTCTCATTGTGGTTTTTTTTTTCTGGGCTCTTAACTTTTCTTGAAGTACTCTGATTTTTGGTCAGTTTTGCATTCTGAATGTGGACAGACGTATGTTGAAGCAGTCCTTTCCTAGGGGATCTTTGAGAGACTTAGAGTAAGATATGACAACATCCCTCTGGCACAAGACAGACTGTGCCAGAGTGCTTTTTTCAGTGCTTTAAAAAAAATTGTGGTTTTGACTCAGTAGATAGAAAATCAATTTAGTGAGTTGCTACAAACACACAAAATTTAACTAGAATAGAAAAGCAGAATATAGCATACATAGAAATGGTAAATGTTGTTTCATGTCTCATGAAACATACATATACAGACATACATACATACATGTATACACTGGGTACTAATTAGAAAGGTATTTCTTAGTGGGGGGTCACAGTCAGTAATGTTCTGGATGAGAAATTGTGTTCTAGATCCCAGAAATATTTTTTGGAATACTAGTCCTCTAACGGACAGATGCTCCTTCTAAAAAGGGATTCTGTGATAGACTCACTCTAGGAAATCATGTCTCCGATAGTCCTGTTTTGGAGATTCACAGTATACATTAATTAATTGCTTGAGAAGTCTTGCATTTGACCACAGACCTTTTTCCCTGACATAATGCCTAGTTTTTGGAGGAACGCACTTTGGGAAACATTGACCTGGTTTTGCCATCATTAGGAAAAGTTGGGTTTTTTTTTTTAAGATTTATTTATTTATACAAGAGTTGGGGTACAGGCCAGAGGCATGGGAGGGTGAGAGGATTCATCAGAGACAGAGCATGGAGCAAAACAGGCAGATGGACCAAAAACATTGCTAAGGGGAGCAGCGGGCAAGACAGGAGAGGTCTGCTGTGCCATGTGGGAATCTCCCTGGCCAGCTGGGAATTGAACCTGCGCTGCAGGGGCTGCGGACAGCTTCACAGCGCTGAGCTCAACCCGCTGTGCCACTGGGGAGGCCTTTAGGAAAAGTTTTATACAGTCACGTGCTGTGTGATGTTGGCAACTAGACCACAGTGTTTCCTTTAGCTAGTCCAGGTGTGCTGGAGGCTGGACCAGCTGTAATTACATTCTCTGATGGTCACACAGGATGCATTACTCAGAATGTGTCCCTGTTTTTAAGTGACATGACACTATATAGGGGCACTGAATCCCTTTTCTGTTATTGGGATAAGTGAGTGGTGAAGACTAACTTCACCACTGGGTTTTGAGGAAAGTAAAGTGGCCATAAGGTGAGAAGTGCTGTTTCCCTGGAGTCACGCTGAGAGGTGCTACCTCTTCCTTTAGGTGGACTCCTTTACTGGAAAGGAGCTGTGAGAGTTACCAGGACCATTATTGCTGAAAAAAATTGTTTTTTTCTTTTTTCTGCAGATGTGGGACCTGGGAAAAGGCCTGAAGATTCCCCAGCTATACCAGTCTGGAGTGGTTGTCTTAGTTCTCACTGTGTTGTCCTCTGCCGGCCTGGCAGCCATGTGAAGAGTTGAAGCTTCCAGCATCATCTTCCCACAAATCACACCACCTAGCTTCCTGATTGTCACTTTCTCCAGCCAGGCCAACGCTCCCCTGATTTGTTTAGACCGCTTTGTGTTTGCGGAGGCCCCTAGAGCACAGTAGCTGTAGAGTAGCTTATGGAACAATAGTAGTAGAAAAGGGTCCAATTTCTTCTGTTTCCAAAGATAAAATGGCTGTAAAAACTCCCTTTTATTGCCCCCAGCTTTCAGCCTGCTCTGGCCTAGGAACCCTTATCCTCTCTCCATATTCAGCCTTAATTTGTGCTGAGGGTCAGCTTTTGGCTCTTTCTTCATGAGACAGTAGAAACAATGCCAGCTCTGTGGCCTGGCCTGGGTCTGGGAGTGAGGTTTTGGGTGCCTCTGCCTGTGGGTTGCTGGCTTAAAGGACAGTTCTGTTTATTGGTCAGAGCCTAGGGTCTTCAGCACCCACACAGTGTGACTAAAAGAAGAGGGTGGGGGTGGTGGGGAGATAGCCTGCTCTAGAGGGAAATGAGAGGGCAAGTTGGTTCTTGGAACAGGTGGTTTGGAGAGAAGATAAATAGCTTTTGATGTGAGGAGATGACCCAGAAAATCATCATCAGATCTAATAAAGGTTATTTTTTTTTTCCATGCATTTCCAGAAAAACCTCTTAATGTCATGTTTTCTAATCCAAATTCATGTGATATCTTTTTTCTGAAACTGAATTAAAATACTCATTTTGTCTTTGACTCTCCTTGAATTCTAGAGAAACCAAGAGAATGGCGTTTGGGGAGGAGCCAATTTCCACCCCCTCCTTCTGGTCTCAGGCATTTACATCCCCCAGTCTGACCTTTCTCAGGAGAGAAACAGTTTTTCCTATAACTGACCACATTTTTAGGGAATCAGACACAAGAAGCCAGAGATGTAATACCCTGCAGAAACCTTAGAGAAGGAAGGAGCAAGAGAAAGGAAGTTAAGCATGTAGAGAGCTTTTGTGTTGTTATAGGCTCCACGATCCTACTGAGAACTGTTTGTAGGCCTCATGGTACATTTCGATGAGGAAGACAGAGGACCAGTGGAGGTGAAAGCCTGGCAGATATTTATAATTTAATGATAAAACTTGCTGCTTTTATAATCCATATAGGTCAGGCTTTTAGGTCCTAAACTCCCTTAGCAGGAGTGCTGCTTTGATAGGTTTGGAAACTGGGTAAATACGTGTCTGTCACTGAGTTGTTGGCCAACTGGTTAAAGCCTTGGGTTGGAGGAAGTAGAGACGGCTAATTGGTGGCCAAGAAATACTTGATTTTAGCTGAGATGGAGGGGACCTGCAGCCTCAACAGTCCATCCCAGCACGCAGTCACCTTTGACTTTAAGTAATGCTTGTTCTTGCTTTTTTCCAGACCGGCCTTGGGAAGTCTTTGTAGCCTTCCTCCAGCTGAAACGCTGTGTCCTGTGTACTTGGCCTTGGAGAGGGACAAGTTCATGAGGGAACACTTTGGCATTGGAACTGGGAAAAGTTTGGCAAGAGCATTAAATTTCACAGCCAGTGCCAGGAAGCTGCAGAGTGGAGACAGTCATAAACAGATGTTGGAAGCTGGGAATTGGATAGGGGACTTGTGACTCTTTTGCTAGCTTCTTATCATTCAGGTGATTGGGATTGGAGTGGCAGATTAATCATCATGTTTGTTGTTCTGCCCTAAATGTCTGCTTGCTTTTGTTTTTCTTCTGTCTTCTAATCACTGTGTGTTTTGTCAGCAGCTGTGAAGTTTTAGACAAGAATAATGTCTGTTCTACCCTGGCTTTCTTACCTTCACTTCCCCACCTACTAGACATACATGTCCTCTACTTACCTGTTGTCCTTCTGATTCTGTAGTTGTACGTGCTGAGGATGAAAGATGAGGGGGTGGTTCTTTGAGGTCTCTTTTGCTATGACTTAGACTTAAGTAGTTCCTGATCATTTCTGAAATATAACTCACACAATCCTTTTCTACCACAAGCCAATATACTTTACTCTCTTTCCCCCAACCCTCATTGTCTTTGTTATGGGTTACAAGAGGCAGCCATAGCAGGAGGAAAAAATTCCAAATTAGTAAGAGTCAACAATAGATGTTTATTTTCCAAGTTTATCTTTTACACCTACTCTTTATTTCCCTGTTCTACATGCCTAACTAGGGGTCTTGCTTATTTCATTAACTCTCTAGAGGGGTTTACTCTGTTCATTTCTGGAGTTCCAAGTTTTTGTTTCTGGGGCTCAGATAGATTAGAACATGCATGCTGTTCGGACGTACATCAGCTGGGTGAGCTCAGAAGAGAGTTGACTGGGGTTTGGGGACCAGGAGTATGACCTGCAGAGGGGTGTGGGCTCTGGAGTTCATCTCCAGGATTGAGGTTTGCATCTGGGGAATTTGGAATTATGGTTGGACTTGGTGCTTGTTGTACAGTCTTTGTGGTTGACGGTTTCTTCAGACTGACTGGATCATGGGGCTGTGGGGTGGAATGGAAGAGACAATCATGTTTCTGCTCAGGCCTAGGTAATTCCTAATCCACTGAAGAGTTATAATTCTTGTTCTTTCCATACCATGAACAAAAAGCCAGGTTATAAATAAGAGGTAAATTAAATTCTGTAGCCTCCCCTTGAGATCAGACCAATTTGGTGCTAGCTGGTTGGGGTTGGGGTGGGGTGGATGATACATGTCTTCAGACCTGAGTAGGTGCTTGGGACTAGATTGGGTAAGACAGAAATGGTGAGAGGTTCCCCCTGCTGGCATAGTGGAGGCATAACAGGTATTTTTGAGGTTGAATAGAGGGAGACAACAGGATTTGAGATTATGTGGGAAGAATAAATACCTTGCCTAAGATTTCAGGACGCAGCCCATTGGAGGCCTTGAGTAAGTCTGGATTTTTCTGTATCCATTTGGTGAGGGAGGCAGCACCAGCAACTGTACGGGAGGTCAGGTTTACCCGTGCAGGGGGTATCTTCAGAGGCATTTGCCAGGTACCCATGAAAGAACCCCAAGGACTTGCCTAGAAGGAGAAATATGGGACTCAGCAGAGCTTTTCACTTCCAGTAACTGACCTGTTGTCAAGACTTCTATTTGTCTTCTTTTCATCCTTTACTGAACTCTGGGGATGCATGGTAATGAAGCCAGACAAAGCTGAGTCTTCCCTCCTCCTTTTCCCTGCCCTTACTGAAGTCGCCTAATATCCTCATCTCCTTATTTCTTCAGGCTGAAATCTGCATCTTTAGGCTATGTTTAGTAGAGAACCCATTTAAATATCACCTGAAAGCATTCATTATGTACAGATTGTTCATGATTTAAGGAATTCCGGATGCGAAACAGAATTCTGCCTTTTGGATAAACCGGCTATAAATTTGGAGGCACTTGGGCCTCTCTGGTGGCACAAGGGGTTAAGTACAACACTGTGAAGCTATCCACAGCTTCTGCAGCACGAATTCAATCTCCGGGCTGGCCAGGGAGCAACTCACATTGCGCAGCAGACCTTTCCTGTCACACTCTCCTGCCCGCTGCTCCCCTCAGCAGTGTATTTCAGTTGATCTGCTTGTTCTGTTCCCCACTGTCTTTGGTGAATCCTCTCCCCGCCCTCCCTCGCACCTCTGGCCTGTGCCCCAGTTCTTGCATGCTTAAATAAAATTTTTTTTTTAATTGGGGGGCCTCCCTGGTGGCACAAGGAATTAAGACACAACCTATGAAGTTGTCTGCAGCCTCTGCAGCACGGGTTCAATCCTCGGCCTGCCAGGGAGCAACCCACATGGTGCAGCAGACCTCTTCTGACTTGCCCACTGGTCCCCTCAGCTGTGCACTTCTGTCAATCTGCCTGTTCTGTTCCTCACTATCTCTGGTGAATCCTCTCACCCCCCACACCTCTGGCCTATACCCCAGTTCTTGTATGCATAAATAATTAAAAAAAAAAATAAAATTGGGCGGTACACATGTTAAAATGTGAATTAGGTTGAACTTGAATTTTCCAGATAGTGACTGTGGGAGGTTGCTATCTCCCTTCTAATGCTCCAGTTCTGCACCTCAGCTCTGCCTTCCTAGACAGGAGTGGCGATGTGTGGCTCACCTTTGAACGGGGCACAGACGGTAACAGATGACCACGGTCATTGGCAATAATCTGAGTGTAACCTTCATGGGACGAAATTCTCTGCGGCAGAGGAGGAAAGAGAAAGACTTGTGACAATGGAGTGGAAAAGGGAGACAGTATCTGAGGTGCTTGAAGTAAAGGCAAAGGGAGAGGAGGAGACAGAAATTTAATGATGGTTGAAAGGAGTCAGGTGCCAGGGGATTACACAGCATGATGTAAATAACCAGAAGGTGACTTTAGGGGTCCACTGAACATGGAATACCTCTTTTGTTGGCTTGGCGGGAGACCAATTCTGCAGATACTTGGGTGAGAAAGCTTTTTCATACTGTGGAGAGAAGTGAGAATCCTGGTTAGCCTCAAAACCCCCAAACCCAGGAAATGATTGTGCACAGTCCTCAGATTCAAAGAACAAAGACCCAAAAAACCATGTGGGTTTTAACTCACTATGGGAAGGATGTAATTTGTTGGTCTACATGTGTGCTGTCCAATCCAGAGCCAATAGCCATATGACTAAGCACTGGAAACATGATCAGTCCAAACTGAGGTGCTTTGTAAGTATAAAAATACACTAGGTTATTAAGACGGACCAAAAAAGAGACTATAAGATATCTAACATTTAAAATACTGATTAGGGTCTCCCTGGTGGCACAGGGGTTAAAGTCTCAGTGCTATCAAGCTATCACCAGCCACTGTGGCAGAGTTCAATCCCTGGCCAGGGAGTTAACCCACTTGGTGCAGCAGACCTCTCCTCTCGCCTGCTGCTCCTCCCCTCAGCTGCTCCTCCCCTTAGTATTTCAGTAGATCTGCCTGTTCTGCTCCCCACTCTGTCTCTGGTGAATCCCCTCAGCCCCTGCATCTCTGACGTGCACCCCAGCTCTTCTATGCAAAATAAATAAATCTTTGAATATCAAGTGTTGAAATATTTTGAATTTATTGAGCTAAATTAATTTCATTAAAAAATTTTCATGTAGCTACTAAAGAACTTAAAATTATATTTGTGACCTGCATTATTTTTGTTGAGCAGCGCTGGTCTAGACCAGGGGTCAGCAAACTGTGGCCTATGGAAATCCATTTCTTAATTGTTTTAGAATGAACCGAGAGAGAGCTAAGAATGGTTTTTGATAGATGAGCAATTAATTTCAATTGATTTGATAAAGAAGGAACACTAACTTTGTATCCCAATTAAGTGAACTGTTTTCTTGTTCCAAAGAAATTCATTGATTTCATTAGTATTTTTAAAAAGTGCACTCAGTTGTATTTTGAATTTCTTAAAAATTTTGTGGAAAAATGTTTTCTCTGGTTTTGTAAATACCTACATAATGTCTCTGATTTTGCCACTTGGCCTATGAAGCCTAATATATTTTCTGACCCTGTACAGGAAAAATTTTCTGGCCTACAAATAGCCCAGAGCTTAGCTCCTCAGGGCCCTCTCAACTCCGAGGAGCTGAAAAATACTCTCTCACCCACTCTCAGATCTATTTAGTGATCAGAGTCCTATGGGAGGGGTCAGTCCAAAGATAGAAACTGGAAGGCAAAATTAATTTTATAAAAAAAATTAATTTTAAAAAGAGAAAAGATGAACTCACCTGGTTAGCACTATAGTTAGTGGCCATGATCCTGCCACTTCCTGCTGTTTATCTCTGTTGCCTGGCAACCACAGAAGGCCTACCTTTTGGACTGCTGCCCCCTTAGCAGGGACTGCCTTTCCTTCCACTTGTTACTCAGCTTTCTTGGCCGATGCTGCCCCCAAGCTTTCCCCCTGAAACATAGATTCCTTTTCTTTTTAGAGCTGTGCCAGAGCAAGTAAGCATGAGAAAATTAGCTGTCTTTTTTTCTAGCATAACTTACTCAAGAACTTCCAAATTGTCTTTGCCTGGGGTCTTTAACAGCTTGAACCAACTGTGGAACCCCAAGACTATTCCTTGAGCAGTGTGCTGTGATATAGCTTGGAGTTTAGACTCAGGCACTGAGATCTGAGTTTTTATTCAACATAGGAACATAGGAGCTATATGACATTGAGCATTTGGTTTCCCCTCATTAAATTTCTGTTGGCACAGAAGTTTACTGTGGAGATAATTGAGCCTGCCTTTGCAGGGTAAATGAAGTAATGTATCTAGTCCTACCTAAGCATAGTAGGTACTCACCACTGAGAAGATCCAGTTTAGAGGGTCCACCACTAAAGTTTTCAGGCAGAATAACAAAGGAATAATGTTTTTCAAAGTAACTAACTCAAGATTATTTCCCAGAAGAAAAAAACTACATTGCCCTCAGTCCTTACATGACTCTGGCCTCTTCCATCACTCTCTAGAATGACAGGGTCTAGAGCACAGGGGATTGGTGTTGACTGGGATGAGGTAGAATCTGGAACTGGTGAGGGAGAACGAGCAGGTGCAATGGAGAAAGCTGTAATGTGAAAGCTCTCCAGGCTTGGAGGGTTAAGTAGTGGTGCCAGATGACAAAACTAACATTTGTGGAACTGGGCTACCGCCCTGAGACTTATCTAAAGTAGCATTGTCATACTCACTTACTAGATTCTTAAAATCAATGAGGAAGTGGAACTGTGTTCTATGAATGGTAAAGTCTAATTCACATATAATATCTTAAGATGAAAGGAAAAAACTAAGAAATAAGTTATCCAGAGAAATAGTTGAGAACAAGGAGAGAGCATTCTAAGGGATAATGTCAGTCTCTTTTTCCTTTCTTCTTCCAAAGTCCTCATCCCAAACAACACACCAAGTATAAGAACGCTCCTACAGTTCTATAGAGATGGAGGTGAAGACAGTTCTGGTTTTATAGACTTTGGCAGTTAATAGCTAGATAATATGGAAAAAGGACTTGTGTGCTTAGTCCCTGGAGTTTTCACCACTCCCTCGGGAGATCAGTGCAGGGCTGGAACGGGCACAGTGCAGGATCTCTATGATCCCATGCAGATGGGGTAAAGGAGGAGTCCTGGAGCCCGCGGTGGCTTTTCAGGCTTTTATTGGGATTTACCAGGTACACAGCAGGCAGGGGGTGCCAGCAAGTCTTCACTCTGGGCTCTCCGGCATTCTCTGGTGGTCACTGCTGCTCTGCTCTCTCGTGGTTCTGCTGCTTCTCTGCTTCTCTCCCTTCGTTCTGCTTCCCCGTGACACCGCCCTTAAAAGCCCCGTCTTAGCCCAGGTGAATCCCATCTACATAGGCCCACACCCTACTCCAGGTGCCCGCCATCAGGCATGCATTCAGGACCGCAAGGGTTCTGTCATATATCTTAATGGCGGGAGGGCAGAAAAGCCTGACACTTTCACCTTACCCTAAAATCATTTTAAGGACTAAGGACTTTGCTCTAGTATATTCATTCTGGTCTTTAAATCCACGGTGATAGTAAGCAGAATTTCTTTAGGAACTTCTGTCTTCAGCTGGTATGCTTTTCTGTTAGAGATGTTATATTACGTGATGACTGTACTCTTATTTAAAAAATAGGACCTCGCTTTTGGCACAAGGGGTTAAGCACCACGCTATGAAGCAATCCGCAGCCTCTACCGCAAGAGTTCGAACCCCAGCTGGCCAGGGGGCAACTCTCATGGTGAAGCAGACCTCTCCTGACTCGCCCGCTGCTCCCCTCAGCAGTGTATTTCAGTCAGTCTGCCTGTTCTGTTCCCTACTCTGTCTCTGGTGAATCCTCTCACCCCCAGCATCTCTGGCCTGTACCCCAGCTCTTATATGCATAAATAAATAAATCTTTAAAAAATTAAAAAAATTAAAAGTAATATGGGAAGAATTTCCCAGGATCTATAAACTAGTTTTCTTTGGACACACAGTTGTTTGTGTGTTGTTTTTTTTTTTTTTTTGCTTTCCAAAGATGTTCCAATATGTGTTGTGTGGTATCATTGGCCACAGAGGTGTCACTATTACTAATAACTTTTGATCTAGTGCTAGAGAGAAAGTAATATTACACACTGTTTTCACATTCCCCTGGTATCAGCAGTGGTGTTATATCACTGCAAATTGAGCCCCACGCAGACTCCTAAAAAGCAGATTGTGTGTGAGTGTGTGTGTGATGGTGATGGAGAGGGGGTACTGTAAGGATAATAATATCACCTCAGTGAGATGCTGTCAGGGAAACTCGGAGAGAAAACAATTTTCATTAGAGCCTTTTGCTATTTGAATTTCCTCCAGCTGCCTATTATCACCTGAACAGCTGGGATCCACACATAATGGAATTCCTTGGCTTCTACAGAGTCTTCTCTTAAGCAGACAAAAGGAAGTTGCATCTTGCAAGTTCCTCCAGAAAATTTATCAAAATTGCCCTGAAGGGTTGACATAGTCCTGATAGGGATTTTTTTGAAGGGTGATGTTATTATTTTTCATTGATCACACCACAAAAATATTAAGAGGGAAGAAAAATTCAATTCCTGTCCCTTGGATCTTATTTAGAAAAACAACAACAATCAAGACTTCATTTAACGGGATCTTTCAGGAAAAAGAAAAAGAATGCTGGTCAGTATAAAGGAAGGGAGGAGAAAGTCTCTTGCTTTTGCTTAGAGCTGGTGGATCTTATTTAAAAAAAAAAAAAAAAACAACAACTGGTGAGCCTCCCCGGTGGCGCAGCGGTTGAGCGCTGGGTTGCGAAGCTGCCGGCGACCTCTGCAGCGCAGCGGTTCGATCCCCGGCTGCTCCCCGGCCACCGGAGGAGGGTCCCACATGGCGCGCAGACCTCTCCTGCCGCCCGCTGCTCCCCTCAGCAGTGTACTTCGGTCCTTCTGCCTGCTCTGCTCCCCGCTCTGGCTCTGGTGAATTCTCTCGCCCTCCCGCGCTTCTGACTGTACCCAGTGCACGTATAAACAAAACAAACAAACAAATAAATAAATAAAAACATGCCTCTATAAATAAAAAAAAAAAGTGTTAAAAAAAAAACTGGTAATAATTTTCCCACAACCATTTATTGTGTTTTTTGTAGTTTTCTGAAAGTTTTGCACATGTACAAGAAATAGAAATATATATTGTATTCATCACCATTACCTTTTACACAAATTATAGCATACCATACTACTTTTTTAGAATAAAAAATTATGTTTTGGATATCATTACATACACAAACATGAAGAGTCTTTTTTTAAAAAAATAACTGCATACTGGGCCTCCCCAGTGGCACAGTGGTTGAGCGCTGGGTTGCGAAGCTGCCCGCAGCCTCTGCAGCGCCGATTTGATCCCTGGCTGCTCCCCGGCCACCAGAGGAGGGTCCCACATGGCGCGCAGACCTCTCCTGCCACCCGCTGCTCCCCTCAGCAGTGTACTTCGGTCCTTCTGCCTGCTCTGCTCCCCGCTCTGGCTCTGGTGAATTCTCTCACCCTCCCGCGCTTCTGACTGTACCCAGTGCTTGTATAAATCAATCAATCAATCAATCAATCAATCAATCAATCTTGTATAAATAAATAAATAAATCTTAAAAAAAATAACTGCATACTATCACATTATGATGTGTTAGGTATCATGATATATCTAATTAGCATTCCATTGTGGAATATTTAATTTGCTTTCAAATTTCATTGCAATGCTGCAATGACTAACTTTGTGTGTGTTTGTGAGTTCATTTATAGGATAATTTTATAGAAATGAAATAGAAGTCAAAGGGCATTTTGAGAGATATTGCCAAATTGTCCTCCAAAGAGATCATACCCCCTCCAGCTATGTATCAGAATTCCTGACAGACCTTGAAATCCTGATGCATTGAGTAGAGCTCCAATTTGCTTGCTTTCATCCCATACCCTTCCAGATGTTAAAGGGATTCACAGCAACTTCTTCAAAACTTTGCATTGTTAGATAACTGTCTAATTTAGTGCTTTCTTATTTATAATCACCCAAAGTCAACAACTCATTCTTTCAATGTATTTTTCTTCCTATGGCAGTTTTTTAAACCAGAACAATCATTAGTTACCCCTAATAAGTGTGGGCATCCCAAATCATTGTCCCTCTTCACACTGGTAGTTCTCCAAGCTTCCTTCCCAAGAGCTCTGAAGTACCATTCATCAAGGGGCAGGTGGAGGTGAGTCTTGGTTTGGAGACCTGACTTTTGCCTGTTTCTCTGGCCTAACAGTATCTTATCTAACCAAACTGATGGCCCATCTTTGAACTATTCATACCCCTGGGGATTATATATATATATTCCTTTGTAGGAACTGAAGACAGTCCGGTACACAGTAAGCAGTGAAGATGTCGATGGCTGTAAAGCTGAAAATTGTTTCAAAATTTCTCCATAGCTTTCAAATTTCATCCTGCTTTCTTTTCTGTGAGGAATCTAAGGCTCCCTCTATTGGAGACTCCTATTGTATCTCCTCCCATCCCCCCCAAAAGACTATTTTTGATAAGAACCTTTCCTAAGGGAAGAATCTAGAGAATGAGCTGTAGACAACCAAAGTGATTGAAGAGAGACATCAGTATCTCTCACCAGGGGTGATTAATTTCTCTTTGTTTGCTTGACTAAGAATAAAGGAATGTATGGTATGTGATGGTTTTGCAGTCATGAAGTCTGGAAATAAATACTATTATCATGTGTTGAAATGTACTATCAGTGAACCATTAATATGTATTCATTTATTTTCCAGATTTCCTGGCAACCCTGTAAATATATTACAGCTATCTATGAGGAAAGATTAGGGAGGATATGTGAGAAATAAAATAAGCTCTAATTGTCATATTCAGATTTTTAACTAGAAGAGGATTTTGTCTCAAGTTAGGGCTAGTGGAGAGAAAGAGAAAGATGACTCACTGATTACTAGAGAATTTCAACACTGTCTTCAAAATAGTTCAGAATAGCCAAAGCCAAAGCAATAAATCAAGGAGGAGTAATTAGTAAAAGTTTATTGTGCACACACCACCTGTTTGAAAACGCGGCACTCAAAAACAAGGAGTAGGGCTCAGCAGCATATTGTTATAAAGCAGTTTAAACAGCAAGCAGGCAGTGACTATTTATTCTTCCAGTTAATGGTTATATTAAATTGTCAGTGGTTACCCCACAGCAACCTTGGGAAACAGCTTAAGTTTTGCTTGTGGTTTCCAGAAGCATAAACAAGAAATGACGGGGTCAGGTTAGCCTTGCAAAATAAGCTAGATTAAGCTTTGTTTGTATGACCAAACTGGTTTTGTCTGCTCAAGGAATTCTCAAAGCTGGTCTCCATGTTGTTGTTGTTGTTGTTGTTTTTGTAACCCTTTGTATTAGAAAAAACTTCAATCTTCCTCCTGAGTTTCCCCTTTCCTCTCACGTTACTATCACATTCACAATACCTCTGACACCAGATTTGGGGGGA